GAGTAATTCTTTTCTGTATCTCGAACCGAATGCCGACGCTGACTGGGTGTAGTCACGCGAAGTGGTGGTCGAGCACGCGAGCCTGTGCTGAGAGACGTGAGGCACTGCAGGGCCGATCGTTCACTCCCACGAGAGCTGCAGCCACCATCACCGGACGCAGGAGCTCCCCAAGCCAGTGTGCGGCCGAAACTTTGACCTTGCAGCTGTTCTCCGAACAGATGTACGCACACGTCCCAGCGCCCCGCTTATACAGCACCAGTGTGTGTGACATCTCTCGAGTGATAGTGCATTAAACCTCGGACTGGCTATGTCCTTTTGGTTAGCCATTTGTATGCGATTCCGCGGCAGGCCGTCTGATACGAACGCACGGATTCACATTGAAATCGTGAGCAAGTCGTCAGCGTGACCCGGGCACGAGACTGAACTTGGCACCGCGTAGAAATCCAGATAGTTATGCGTTTAGGACATGCTGTCGAGACCCTGAGAGACTGGTTGGAGTCTGGTGTACTCGATGGGTGTGTCGTGTGGAATTTCTTACCATAAGAAAGTGCGCTTATAGCAATGGCTATGAGTCACGATCTCGATGGTACCGTATGAGGTTTTGAGTACGGGAAGAGGTGTTGTATGCCTCGAACTCTGTGAAGAGAAGAAGTATCAGCCACATTTGTTGGTCCTTTTGTGATTCTCGACCGAGTCGACGTCTTAGCCTAACGGTTGACCCCATCACCGGAGCTTGCAAGAGTGCACGACCTGTTCAGTGCCTCGTGGAGAGGGGACATGTGCGTGACTCTAGGCACGAGGCGATCTTTGACGAGCTGCATGTGGGCAGAACCTTACCTTTGATGAGGTACCGGTGACCTACTGGATTGACGAATCCAGCAGGGAGAGTCCGGAAGAGGTACTCGTCAAAGTCCGGCGGGGTAACCATGCTAGTGCGGTATGACTTGGTAGAGTGGGAAGATTCGGACGGAGTACCCGAGTTGAGCGGTTTGAGTTTTCTCTCGTGTGTCAGTTGTCCTGTTGGGATGATTCTCTTGGATTTCCGGGGACGGAAATCGTTTAAGGAGGGTAGACTGTAATGCTCCGTTTATTTGTGGATTATTGGAGAATATTATTATTATTTTTATTGTTATTATTATTATTATTATTATTTATGGGATGATATTATTTTCTGATAATATTTATATTATATTATTTTTTAAATGTTTTAATATTATTTGCCTAAATGTGATTAAATGCTAATTGTCTAAATGTCTAAATGATTTATTTTTATTATTTATAAATGTGTATAAAGGGTATTAGTATATATGTAAAACAAATATATTGTTCGATTTATTTTTATTGTGCGTTGGAATTGATATCGAGCCCGAAATTACCTGCGTGAACCAAACCCGAGCCCGTGAGCCAACTTAATGTCGCGAATTGGCCCAATGGCCCAAAACCTAGCCTTGAATGTGCATATAATTGCATCCCTAATTTTCTCTCGTTCATAACATCCCGCAGACTCCCTTTTTCTTTTCCAAACGCAGAGACCGATCTCACCATCTCTCACCTTCTCTCTCAAACGGTCGCGACCATCGACTCTCTTGCTCTGTTCTTTTCTGATCTTTTTTTCCAACAACCAGCATCATCATCACCCCTGTCCGATCACCCTCCTCGTCTCACCACCATCATCGCCGGCGGGAAGCAACCAACGCACAGCAACTCGCGCAGCGATCTCCGGCGACCCCTCGCAGCGAGTTCCGACGATTTCTGTTCGCCCTTCGAGCAGCCCGCGAGCCCTGACGACGAGAACTCCACCTGATGTGATCCTTTCCTCCTCGCGCAGTATGACCTAGCAGCAGCACCTCAGCGACGAGCAGCCCTCCTCCTTGCGAGACGACGCTTGCCGTCGAGCTTTAGCCTGCGAGTTCGCCTCGTCTTATTGTTTCGTTTTCCGAGTTTTTCCGGAGAACAGTACCTCGTCGTTTTTCCGTCTCGCTTAACTCGTATATGATTTATTTCGTTATGTGTTTATTGTCGTGAAGTGCTCGTTGAACAATGTAATATATGTGTGAATTGCTAGATGTGAATATGTGCGATTATGTGTTCATTATGATTTTATGTGTTATCGTATGTTCGGGACCTCTTCGATTTTCTAAAAAATCGAATGAGACCTCAAAAGTCGTGTAAGTCGGTGAATGTTGGAACAATGTCGAGCCCTTGGTCTTATGAAAAGGCCTCGGACGAGAAATTACGTGTGTTTAATTTAATCGTTAAATTGTCGAGCTTAATTGTCGCTGTTTTGGTAGTTGAATTTTTAAAAATAGCTCGCTGCTCGAAACGTTTTGAAAATTTGAGGGTGATGTTGTCTGTTCATCGTAAGCCTTATGTAAAATTTTCGTGATTTTTAGAAACATGTAGCTGTTTTTAATAATTATAATGAAATCTAATCAGAATAGTGTTAATTGCATAATAAATTCATTCATGAACAAAATGAGCTGAAATTCGAATATGTAATGCCTATGAGATTTATATATGTTGCGTTAAAGTTTTAGAATTTTTGGATTTTATTTGATGTGGTTAATAATTCACTTACCAAATCTGCTGAGTGTAGTTTGAATTTTTATAAATTGGTTATTTTGTGAACAATTCTGAAATTTTACTGAGATACCTATTTTATGTGTGGAATCATGCTTTCTTTTTGGGGTCCATTTTGTTTCGGTTTTGATTTAAATTCGATAAACTGCTGAATCTCGTATGAATTTTTAAAAATAGTAGCAGTCAATATTCAGGGCTGAGATTTTTATACATGGACTTTAGCACGTTGTATGTTGTTGTGTTAAATTTACAAGTTCTGATTCGTTCAATAAGTTCAAGTATAAATTGATGTTCCCATTTTGTTAATATCTTGTTCGAATTTTATAAAATAGTGTATTTCGAGTTTGAAGCTGCAAATTTGTGGTTTTACATGTTTCTGGGAGATGTAATTTTGTGTAAAATTTCAGAGCTTAAGTCGTAGGGTAGCCTGACCAACTATTTTCATGTGATTAATGATTGTTATTTTCGAAACATGATTTTGAAATGAAAGTTGGGAATAGACTTGCTTTTCGTTTTGGTGTGAGTTTTGACTTGGTCAATCCTTAGATGGATTTATGTGATCTGGTGTATGTGTTTTGGTCAAGTTAAGAGCTGAGTCTTAGTGTTCCAACTCCACAGGACTTCACGAACTACTTAGTCGAAACAAGTTCGACTAGGTCTGTTTTGTGATTTCCGATTAAAGTCAAGATAGATATTGATTGTAGGATCTTGACATAATGTAGGTGTTTGAGGAGTCAAGCCTCGATCCACATCTTTTCTGATTTGCTATCATCAATCCAAAATTTCCAGGTGGGTACATTTATGATGTATTCCATATTTATCGCACTTAATATTTCGTATAAATGCTTTGTTTGAAAAATGATGTATGCGTGAGAACCCTAGTCTAAGTGTCCCGTATGTTAGTGCCTTTGAGGAATGCATAAACAGTGAGAGGTCACCGGCCCGTAGATTCGGAGAGGTGACGCCCCGGTCCGTATGATATTAGTGAAGGGGAAAAACATCTTTACTGTCTCGTGGAAAGGATCCCAGGCCCGTAGCCATTCGGTGATTGGAAGGTTTCCAGTTACTTCCATGTCGTGTGTGATCGGAAGGTTGTTGTTTGTACATAGGAGGTTTGCGATAGGGCTAAGTAGGGAGTTAGACTGTTGGATTCCATGCATACTGAATATTAGGGTTATGATGTTTTAAAATGTTATGCGAGATAAACTGTGCGATAATGGTGAGCTTGTTGGTTATGCTCACCCCCATTATTTTTCTTTGTTGTGTCTTCTCTTCATTTGCTTTAGGTTGAGACGAGCTGGAGGCGGTGGCGTAAAGACGAGCGAGATGGTGGTCATTTATTGGATGTGTCTTTTGCTTCCGCTTGATTTTATTTATGTTAAACTATTTGCTTTTGTTTGGGATTGGTAATGCTTCCGTCGATTTGGATTATTTACTTCTTCTCTTTCGAACTATGTTTGAGTTACGTTTGAACCTTGATTTATGCTAGACGATTTGAGAATGATTTTGAGACTTATGTTCTTTCATGGGATTGGTTATTTTGATAGCTCGAGCAGGTGTAGGTTCTTTGAATTGTTGGATGTGTTTGTTTGTTGTTGTTAGTGAGTAGTGCTCGTTCCTCGATGAATGTTTTAATTTGGATTTACAAAAAAATATAACTCTGATTTTTATTAAATTAATTCAGTAAATTCTTTAAAATAAAACATGATGTTACATCCAATGTAATGCCCCGTTCGCTTATCAGAATTTTCTCAATATTATATTATTATTATTATTTGAATTAGTTGTCTAAATTGAATTATTGCTCGACATTTTTAGTTAGTCTTACTTATTATTTTAGTTCGATTGCATGTTCTCGTCTAATCTAATTGATTTAATAAGTCGCTCTATTTTATTATTGTCCATCGCCAATTGTTAATCGTTTCGATCGGAAGTCTTGTTATCGCGTTTTTCTATCAGCCCAATTTATCAGGAATATTTTCGGTCCTTTCGGATAATTTTGTTTCGGCTCAAGGCGAATTATTTTTGACCTATATGTGCTATTAAATTCCAGCCCTTTTAAGTTATTCTCAGCCCAATTGATTAATTAGCTCTGGATCCAATTTTGAGAAATTTACACCCTATACTATCAAATATATTTTATATTACACATTTACACCTAATTGATATTTATTTGCAAAGATACAAAATCACCCTAAAATAATTGCACATATACTAGAATTCAAACTTAAGTCAGCTTATCCTTTAATTAGGGAAAGAGACGGATTTAATGGGATTTAATACCTTAACTTTCTTCTATTCCCTTTTATCTTCAAAATCTTGTACCCAAACCCCTCATTCTCTCCTCCGCCTCCTCATTAATCCCCAACCTTCAGCTCATACTAATTCCTAACCTTAGACCATTTTTCCCCAATTTTCAGTCTCGAAAGCCAACCACGCTCACCATTCACAATTCCGCCCGCACCGTTAACCCGGATTTGTCGGTATCCGCGCCCGAACCCGATGGTTCTGGACCATCCGCCCCGACCCCCGGGGCAACATCTTTCGGCGACATCTTTCTTCAGCACCAGCAGGCCGCGGCTGCCTCCGCCGCCGTTCTTGCAGAGATAAAGGAAAAGAAGAAGAAGAAGAAGAAGAAGAAGGATAAAGACAAAGCTGTGAAGGCTTCATCAACAATAAATATCAACATTAATGGGATTTAATGTTGAGTATATAGACAATATATTTTCAATTTTATAGACATTTTTATGTTTTCAAAATATTCAAAATATGATTTAAAACAAAAATAAACTGATTTTTTTTGTTGTTGTTGTTGTATATATGTATAGTTTATATACATAGTCCATTCATCATATAATGAATGAAAATCATCATAGGTGACTTCATCCACAAAAATATAAAAAACATACACCTTTAATATACCAAAACAAAACGATACATAACAGAAGATGGAGTATATGTTCAATATACGTTCTGTATATTAGAAGATTTTTTTGTTAGGGAATATAAGCAACATGTTATAATATGTTTATAAACTATATATATACTTTTACGTATAAAAGTAAAAAAAAAAAAAAAGGAAGACATAATTTTTTGATGGAAGACATGTTTTTCATTGTAACATATACTGAATATATACTAACATATACGCAATATCTACCACCAGACAGCTGCGTGAATTACAAAACATGTTTTTATTTCTCTCTATTAAAAACGTGCGCGAATTAAGGAATTAAATTTCGGTTATTTATTTTTATTTCTCTTTCTTAATCAAGTGCATAAAAAGGGGGATGGAAGTGTGAAGGATATGGTAACTTACTTTAGGCATTAATATAGATAAATAAGGTCTTTTAGGTAGAGACATAATTATTTTTACTTGCATGGTAAAGTTGCAATTAATTTAAAATCACATAGCATACATAAAAATTTCCCTCCAATTTTTCATTGAATTCTATTTGGCCCAAATTGAGTCAGAATATTTTTGGCCCAAAGAATGGAATTTATGAGCCCATTTGAGGATGGAATTGGCAGCCTCATTCTTTTTCCACTCGTGCGATTTTCTGTTCCGATTTCTTGGTGAGATTTTTCCCCGCAATCGACTCTCATCGTCTTCTTAATACTCGGCCAAGAGCTCCATCTGGAGCAGAATCGATCAAACCAAAGAACTCTACAAATCTCCCTAATCTCCTTCCTCCTCAAAATCTCCGTCGTCTCTCTCCCTTCTCCGTAGAAGCGAGCAGCAACAATCCCGGCGTTTCAGCGATCCCGATGAGTTCGAGCCCAAATCTCCAGTCGCGATTAAGTCCAGACTCCCGACGGCGAGATGAATGCGCGATAGGGGGAAGGTAGCCGCGGCGGGAATCGACCTTCGCGGGCCCCGACGAGCTCTGGCGGTTGAAGAACTCCAATTTCTGGCAGCGGCAGACCAGAACCCGACCCTTGTACGGCTGAGACGAGTCGTCGATGACCAGAAATCGAACTCTTTAGAACCGAGCAGCAGGCCGCCACAACAATCAAAGTCCGACATCCTTTCCGGCGATACCCGTTCGCCTGCGTTTCCTCTTTTCGAGCAGACTGGTCGTCGCTGAGCTCCGTCGCCTTTGAGTCTCTGACCTTGGCCAGATAGTTCGTAAGCATCGCTGTGTTCGAAGTGTCGAGGTTCGAGGCTCCGTTCATTCTGTTCGTTCGACCCGTTTTTCGGAAAACTCGTAAATTCCTGAAGTCGGGTAATCTTTTTCGAACCTTCTCATTATTTTGATCATAATCGAATATCGTGTTGATTGAATTTATCGTGCTCGTTGAACCAATTATTGCTAGTGATTAATTCTAATCGGGTGTTTGAATCATTTTGTTTGTTGGGCTATGAATCGTGGATTGACGTGGACATATTGGAACTCTCATTTATTGTATAAATCGAGTCTCGTTATTGCTGTGAGAAAGTGGTTAAGTGTGGAGTCTCATTTTTGTTGGTTCGAACCTTGTTTCCGTCATTGCCGTTCATTATTCTTGAGCCGTTATGTCGTTTCGTTTTTCGATTTTAAAAATCAATTTTTATTTCATATATGCTCGAGCTCTGCGAAGGTTATAATCGAAAGTTATTCGCTTTTGAAAACTCCGGTTGCCGTGGGAGATGACGCCCTCGTCGATTTTCTCTTTAGTCTGTTTGCTTGTTCGCAGCCTCTGTAATGTTTCAATTTGTGTTCATTTGTTCCCAGGAAACTTATTGGTTTAAGTAGCAGCCCTTTTGTTTTTATTTCAGTAGCAGGTTAGTGGTGCATTGGCGTGCCATGTTCATTTTGTAAGTGAGGTCTTGTGTTCGATCCCTCCACTTGTAGAAGCCATTCTCTTTTTCTGTTATTTGATTTTTCCAGCCCAATTTATTAAAATTCCTGGCCAAGTGATTCTTTTAATTCGGGCCCAATACCACACTTGTGATGGCCCAGTCCGCCAGGAGCTTCAGTAACCACGCGGGCCGCGTTTGGCCCGATTCTGGCCCGCGCACGGCCCGTTCTTCAGTCAGCCCTCCAGCCCAATTGTTTTGAGTGCTAGGCCCAATTCTATTGATAAATCTTGGCCCATTTTCGCGGCAGTTTTTCCCAGCCCGGCCCAAGTGCGACATTTTTGCTATTTTGAGTTCTGGAAGCTCGTTTTTAATACCGATTTCGGTTTTAAAAATATTTTCAAAGTGAGAAAAATTTGGGAAAAATTATTTTAAGTCCCGAGACTCTATTTTTGGTCCCCGAGTCTTTTCTTTTAAAAAATTGAGAGTTTCAAGTCCACAAAAAATTCTGATAAAATCCCTTAATCATTATTTTGATTAAGAGCGAGTCTTATGATTGTAAATATCAAGATAATATATTTATGAAATTATATTGATTAAATGTAGGTGTTTGAGGAGTCGAGCCCTCGACTTACGTCCCACTACTTGTTGGGTTTTCCCATTCCGATTACCAGGTGGGTTTAATGTAAAATTGTCTATGCTGTAAATGTTATTACTGTTTTAAATTTTTGGTATGATCAAGTATGCATGTGGAACATGTAGCCTTCGATGTGAGCTGTACCGGCCGTCGAACGGTTATCTCCGTAGCTATAGAACGTACCCGTTGGGTAGTCTCCTTATTATTGTGAGCCGTAAGACCTGGGTTAAAGGTCCCTGTGCTGGACACATTTTGAGCCGTAAGACCTGGGTTAAAGGTCCCTGTGCTGGACAACCCCGTTGGTAAGACCAAGGTGAGGCCTTGGCTGGCGGGTTACTCCTACTGGCTGGCACTCGATGTAGGACCCGAGGGCATTCGATATATAGTCAGCAGTAGTGGGTTACTCCTACTGGCTGGCACTCGATGTAGGACCGGAGGGCATTCGATATATAGTCAGCAGTAGTCTATGCGTAGGTGTGCACACGAGTCCTGATTTTATGACGATCTTATGACGATATTATGACGATCTTATGACCATATTATGATGACAGGAGATTGGGATATTAAATTGATTCGTATACATGCTGAGACCATACCTTATTGATTATTGATTACTATTTCATTATTGTGAATAATGTTTACTGCATAGTAGTGAGCACTACTTTTTCCAACTCTGGTCATCCCCACCTGAAATTCACGTTTCAGGTTAAGGCAGGTACGACGGCGGAGTAGAGCGAGTGGTGGTCGGTCTATAAGAGTGACCTTATTATTTGTTATGCTTCCGCATTTATGAACTGGTTTTTAAGATTATGAACTTGGAGTATTATTGCATTTAAGATTTTCGGATTTTATGACTGAATAATGGTAAGGAAATGCTCCTTAGAATTTACGAATATTGTTGGAACCCGGTTTGGGTGATGATTTATGAATTTTTGGAAAACTCTTTTTGGGAGTTAGTGATATTGTTGATGATTGATGATTGAGTTTGATGATTGATTGAGTATTGAGAAATTGGTTAAGTATGGAAGTTTGTTTTAAAAATGAGTAGCGCCTCATGTGTTTTAAAATAAATTTGAAAAATTTATGCTGATTTTCGGCAAATAAAAGTGGGGCGTTACATCCAAGTTCCACTAAAATGTGTATAAATCCTTAATCGATGATTTCCGATTAAGGAGTGAAGTCGATGAGTCCCTATGCCTTACCTGAGGGTTTCTCGAGTCGGCAAATTGGGAGGTTCGTGTTGCTATTGGACAGAGCCCTATGTTGCGCATAATGGCTACGTTCGACTCGTGGAGTCGATATTTTGAGAATATGAGCATATTTGGGGTTGTGCTGTCTATATGTGGTACCGTGCCGAAGTCTATTATCGAGACGCACAGACCGTGATGAAATCGTGAGCAAGTTATCAATGTGACTTGGATACGAGATTGAAACTTGGCGTCACGTGTTCGCCTTGATGGTGAGGTAGTCGGAGTACGCTGACAATACACCGAACGACTTGTTGAGGTCTTGTGTGCTGTTAGGTACGAAGCAAGTCATTAATACTCATGAGTATAGTCCAGACCGAACTGGGTCCCTTGCAAGAGGATGTACGCCTGAGCTCGGGCAGGACTGAGCACCCTCCCAAGCAAGAAGGTAAACATATGAGCATAGGTCGAGTCAGATTAGTTCCTATATGTGAGTACATGCCTTTTGAGTATAAGGCAATAGGACTCATTCGAACGGAATCGAGTTCCGTAGAGTGATGCCCGGACCTCGTGATTGGAAATTCCTGTGCGAGTCTATCGTTTCCTTTTTGATGTGTGTTCTTTCGCATTTCCGAGGACGGAAATGTTTTAAGGAGAATAGATTGTAGCGCCCCGTTCGATTTAAAAAATTCTCAGAATATTCCTTTTATCGAATATTATTTATAAGGTTATATTTATTTTATTAGTCGCGATGTTGGCTTAAATATAAGGTTGGAGTACTCGATCGTTTCGTTCGGAGATTTCGGTTTAGTCGCGTGAACCGAATATAATCCGTTCGAATAATGGATTTTTTGGATATTCTGGCACTATTATTTATTTTATTAAATTGCCAAAGTGAAATAATTGCTTGATAATATATTTATTATTATGTGCTGCTAAATATATATTATGTCGGTTTGTAAGTTTAAATTTACTTGTCGTCATATCTTATTTATCCGAGCGTTATATATATTCGGATTTTATGAAAATGAGTTCATAGTCGAGACCGGCCGACTCGTAAACCCCTTTAATTATAAATAAATTTGGGATTATTTATGATTATTATTATTATTTATTGTTTGTTATTATTATTATTACTAAATGCCTCATTGTCCTTAAATGTTTAAATGTTTATCATTATTAATAAATTAATGTGTGTATTATCCGGATTTTATTTTAATATCTTGCGCGAACCGAGCCATTTTATTCGCCAAGTCGAGCCCTAGAGCCGAACCATTTGTCGAGCCCGATAGAACCGGCCGCGCGCCCAATTGAACCTGCCATGTTTGCCCTTCCTTCCCTTTTGTGTGTATGTGTGTGTGTGTTTTCTTGTGTGGGAAGATTATTAAACCTAGTCCACTTAATCTCTCCTCTCTCGTTAATCATACGCCGCAGCCTCTCTGTTCTTTCTCTCTCGCCGCAACAGATAGTGAACCCCGCAGCTTTTTATCTGTTCTCATCCCTCCCCCGATCTCGCGCAGAAGAACAGAAAAGAAAGAGAAATTTCGACGCCTTCTTCTCTCGATCGACCATCACCATCACCCCTCTCTACCTCTCTTTTCTCCCGTAAATAGTCGTTGCTCTGCCCTGCTCAGCCACCGCCGACCACCCGCCTCCGTTCGCTGCCCTTCTCAACTCACGACGTTAAGCAGTCCCGGCGACCCTTCCCCGCGAGCAGGCTGCAGTCGGCGACCGCCACCCCCTTTTGCTGCTCGTTCGCCGTGCAATTGTTGTCCCTCACGACCACCGGCAGACGCGCCCTGCCACCATGAACATCCCCTCGCCGCCGCCGCCGCGAGCAGGTCACCACTGGTGAATCCTCGCAGCGCCCCTCTGCCGCGCTGCTCTTCGTCGGGCCGCTGCAACTCCGGCGAGCTCTCCCCCTCAAGCCAGCAACTCCGGCGAGCCCCTCATCTCCCTATATCTCTTGCTCTCGCACAGAAAAAGAAGCAGCATCGCCGACGAGAACCAGTCCGGCGAGCCCGTCCTCCATCACCGTGAGCCAACAGCAACTCCAACCACCCTCATGTCGCTGCTGCACTCCACCCGACGTGAATTAGAAGGTTCCCGACGATTCATCTTCAGCCACAGCTCCTCTGCGAGACGAAGCATCGCCGTCGAGTCATTACCGCCTCGTTTGTTGCTACTAGCCACCGTGTGTTAGCCGTCGTCCCCGTTCGCCTCTTTCGTTCCGTTTTTGAGTGTGTTCCCGAGAACGGTACAAAGGCTTGATCCCCCGTCTTGTTAATTTTATGTGTATCGTATTGTTTCCGTTCGTTATTTCATGTGATGAATTTATATATGTGTATTTATATTAAATCGCGTGATGAGATCTCGTGTCGATTCGTGCGCAATCGAACGAGACCCCGTTAAAAGCGTGTGAGTTCTGTGGGAATTAGAACATAATGAATCCTTGGCCTTTAGGCGAAGGCCTCGGACAATTTCGAGTTTTGTCGAGTCGTTTATAACTTGTTGATCTCGTAAATTGTTGTTTTCGTGTTTAATTCATTATAAATTGTATGCTGCTTCGATTGCCATGAAATTTTTGGTGTAATTGCCTCTTTTGATTATGAAGCTCGTGTAAAAATTTCATAATTTTATTTGGTCTGTAGCTATTTTAATTAATTAAAGTGATTTCTGGGCAGAACCGTGTTAATTGCATAATAAATGGATTCTTGCTTCAACCTGTCTTAAATTTTATTACGTTACGCCTCTGTTATGTTTATACGTGGTGTTAAATTTTCAGAATTTTCGGACTCGGTTTGCTAAGGAAAATAATTTATTTTGTGATTCCGCCGAAAACTGTTTTAATTATGATAAATTGATCTGATGCTGAGAATTTCTGATTTCTGGTTGAAGTGGTTTTTTTTCAATGTGTTTCATGCTGTAAAAATATTGTAATTTTTAGAGTTCATATTGGTTAGGTTTTGCTGAAACATTGAAATTTGCTGAATGTTGATACAATTTTATTAATTCGCATGTTAAGATTATAAAACTGAGAGTTTTACATACTGTTATTCACATATTGAGGTTCCTTGGATAAAAATTTCATAGGCTAATTTGTTCAATAGGTCTGGTTGTTAATTTATGTTTGTTTTTGTTGTTAACTTGTTTGAATTTTATAAAATTGTGTCTTTGGAGTTTGGGGCTGAAACTTGGTGGTTTTACTAAGTTCTGGGAGATGAATTTTTGGTTAAAATTTCAGAGCCTAACTCATTCGGTTACCTGACCAACCTAATTATGTGAATTACCAACTTTTATTTCGAAAATGTAGTTTTTGTGTTAAAAGTTATAAACCGGTTCATTCGTTGTTTTTTAGACTTGTTTGGAATATCTCTAATATGACATTGCATGAACTTTTATGTTTGTTTAGTTGAGTCTAAGTCTAAGTGTTCCAACGTCCACAGGATTTCACGAACAACTTAGTCGAATCAAGTTTGACTAAGTATAATTGTGATTTCATTTTTAAGTCAAGATAAGGTGTTGATATTAGTATCTTGACTTAATGTAGGTATTTTGAGGTGTTGACCTCACCCTGCTTTCGAGAATCGTGATTGTGAATTGTCACTTTGACCAGGTGGGTTTTATTAAAAATTGTCTGTGCAATAAATTGTTTACCTCAATTGTATATGATCAATGTGTGCTTACGAATCATGTAGCCTTCGATGTGAGCTGTACCGGCCATCGAACGGTTGTCCCGTATTTATGAAAATAAACCCGAGGGGTTACTCTTACTGACTGGGCATCGATGGAAGCCCGTGGGGCGATTCGGTGTGTAAGACCGGAGGGCATAGATGTAGAGCCCATGGGGCATTCGAAGCATGACCCGAGTGAGGGCCTTCGATACATCTACCGACAATAGTCTATTGGTATAGATGTGCACATGAGTCTGAACACTGTGAATTTATGTTGAAAACATGGGATACTTAATTGATTCTTATACATGCTGTGATCATACTATTTCTTTTACTGTTTATGTTATGAAAATGTTTATTCCATAGTGGTGAGCACTACGATTTCCAATTGTGCTCATCCCCACCTGAAATTAACGTTTCAGGTTAAGCAAGGCGGGCATGACGGCGGAGTAGAGCGAGTGGTAGTCGATTTTTGAGACCGGTTATTAATTGATTTTGCTTCCGCTATATTTATGATTATTTATGATTTATGAATTTTCGAACTCTAAGAATTTATGAAGTATTGAGATACTATTGGGGAGATGCCCCGTTGACATTGTTATGTCGTGAAAACTTATCTTTTATTTTGGGAACCCAATTTGGGAGAATTGATGATTTATGGATTTATGAATCTTTTGGGAGTTAGGTGATTTATGTTATGGTAATGATTTGAAATAAATGAGTAACGCCACAAGTGTTTGAAATCAATTTTGAAAAAATTATTCTGATTCTGAAGGTCCGGAATTTCTTTAAAATCAAAGTGGGGCGTTACATTTTGGTTGCAGGAGGCTGGACTTGGATTGAAGTTATTGTCAGAACATTGTTTGAGGAGGAAACTGGAGCTAAAATACTTCTGATAACATCATTGAACCCTAGAGCTAAAGATCAATGGGTTTGCCCCTTTCTGACCAAAGACTCCTTTTCTGTGAAAACTGCATAAGTTGTGCTGATAAAGAAAAGATAGGGAAAATGAATCAGGCTGAGAGTAGTGTGAGTGTATGGGGTAACAGCAGGGCAAGAATTAGATGCTGGAAACATAAAGTCACAAACAAGATCAAGCATTTTATTTGGAGGTGTTTCTCAAATATCTTGCCAATGAACTGCAACATTATTAGCATGGGAATGCAAATGGAGAGAGTGTGTGCAGTGTTTGTGGAGAAGCAGAAGAGACACAGGAACATGTCTTGTTCTTTTGCAGCAGGGCTAGAAAAACCTGGAAATTATCTCCTGTCCAGTGGAACAAAGCACAACAAGAACAGATGAACTTCAAGGAATGGTGGTGGTGGATTAGTACATTGAAGAAGCAGGACATTTGTGAAGATAGAATCCAACTGTCCACCTATATACTTTGGTGGCTGTGGCGTGCTAGGATCCTTTGGGTGTTTGAGAAGCAATGGCAATCTGAGATATGGATTATCAGAACGGCTATGCAGACTGGTTAGACTTCTCTCATAGAAGATCAAAGCCTTGACAAATATAGAAGAGAATGCACTAGGTCTCAAGTCAGTGGTGTGTCTCTCTTCTTCTATTTGTGTTGTTTAGTTTGATTTGTTATGTTCTGATTGGATGTGGTTGTTTGATACCATTATGTATTGTGTCTCTTCTTATTTGTAGTCCCGGTTAGGCAGTACTGTTAGTACTGGGCCTCTCAATTATTGTAGATTCGGATTGTATCCATGTATATTCCACTTATTTTGGTTATATATAAGAGTGATTATGCCGTTGGAAAAAAAATAATTAACATGCACAAATAAATAAATAATTAATGGCATAATGAATTTAAATAAATAAATCCACTATTATGGTCATTAAATATTGAGTCTTCTTAAACAAGGAAACCTTGACAATTCTTTCCTTATCCAACTGGAACTCCCACTACAGTAGAATCCTGGTTGATAGTGTACTGGTTGCCCACCAAGTAAAACCTCTCCACCTGCCACACGGGTTGTGTCACACCGGTTCGCCGCCGGTTGTGCTGCCTGGCCGCCGACGGCTCCTCGGGCCCGATTCTGGTTGCGTTTTTTGAGGTTCGTTGATCTCTTGTTATCTCCCGGTCATCAACACACGATCACAACACAAAAAATATAATTTACAAAATTACATAATTCGATCCTAGATCCAACGAATGGATGTACATGTTTTCTAAACAAATAACTAAATCTATTTGGTCAACCCCCGGGCGAATAATTATTACAATCATTCATCCATCAATTCCTCGACATGTCCGAGACTTTAAAACAAATTTAAAACCAAACATCACATTCAACAAAATTCATCAAACACATAGTCGGTCATAATAGTGGATTACTTAATTCCTGCAAAAACTGAGTTATGCGAATATAATCCAATATATATGGCTGCGTTTGAGCACATCTTGTCAAATAAAGCCGTAACAATTTGAACTTTGACAAAACGAATTAACCAAGTGCTTTGATACCAAAGTACTCGTAACTTTGGTCTAAGTTCCTCTTTCAATCAATGTAATTAGGACCAGTAAGCTGATTTTCTTTTAGAATTACAGACAACGGATTGAACGACATGATGAATATAGCCTGAGAATCATGAAAAACAAAGTTTACAGATTAAACACTTTTCAGTTTAACTGTTAACATTGATATCCTCAAACAATATTAACTTAAATTCACGGACATCTCAAAACACCGTGAGTAATGCATGATACGAGGGTAACCCTACACACTCCACATTCGCCAGAGGAGAACTTTTCAAGAACCCATTAATTTCCATAAGTCAAAACCAAATTCAAGACGAACGAAATTAATAGTCGGTCTCCGTTTGGACATGCAATAAAATTCAGGGACCCCGATGGGGGTGAATAAATTAAATCGCTTTCTAGGTGAATCCCATTTCTCGATCCAAAGGTTATCAAATTTTATCAAACGTCCCCCGAGGGAAGCCCCGTACGCTCTCATAAGACTTCCTACAATCGTTTCTTTAGAAATTCATCCTGGTAATTGTTGTTGCATGAAATTAACAACTTTAAATTACAAACAGCAAGGTGTGTTTAAACGAAGAGAAATGTAAAATTGTGTTTTATTGATAAGTTCACTAGAGTACAGGGAGTCGGTTTTTCTTTCTTGACCGAGATCATTTTAAGTCCGTGTACAACGTGTGTTCCAAAGGCCCCTCGTACAACCATAAGTTCTGCTATTTATAGTACGGTCGTATTTTGTCTTTTTGTCCGAGGTAGATAAGATTGCATTTAATGTTGAGCAGCTTCAATAAAGCGGTGTGTTATGGAGCAAGGGAACATCAATGATTGCCTCTTGTTTTGATCGTCCAATCATATGTTTACAACGCT